GAAATGTGGACAGGAGCGAGCTCATCAAGCGTACGCGGCGGTTTGCGCCGACCCTCCTTTTCGGCGGACCCTCCTTTTCGACCCTACTTATCGCTAACTACATATCCTCCAGCACTGCGCTCTCCTGGGGCCCCAGCCACCACGCGGTGCCAAGGGCTGACTTCAGTGACACTGCCGCAGGGGCTCAAGTTCATGTCGGTGTTGTTGCCTATGTGAAAGAGTGCAGGTGTACGTTTAATTATGTATCCTCATTTTCAGCGCGTAATTTCAGAGAAATTATTCATCGAATCGAGCCGTCCGAGTTTAAGTGGCCCGTTTGCGCGCAAAGTCGGGTCAGAGCAGGTTTTTCGTGGGATGGTCCACTTTTGAGACCTGGCTTTGCGTGAGTGCGTCCGTCGCCCTCAAGAATGCATGAGCCGTCTTGTGCCCCGCGCCCATGAACAAGTGAACAGCCCTCTGTTGTAACGATAGTTCGCTTTACGCGCGCATCGTTAAATCGGTTTCCCTCAACATAAGAGGCGGAAGAAAGGGATCTAAACCCAGTCGGCTAAACCCGTATAATCACCGCCGACATATTCCCACCCGATTCGATACGACCACATCCGACTTCCCGGTCTCGTCCTGGCGCCGCCGAGCGGGATCAAAGTGAGGGACCAACTGTGATCTGGAGCGATATCACGAGATTTCGATATCGATACGATAGCCTCGGAGTTCGATATTTTCTCAAAATATTTTCTCGAAATATCGTATGGTGCCTTGATACTACTGCGGTATTGCTACGACATCACTCGATATTATCGAGACTTGATACATAGAGGCGATGCTCGATATACTTGTTCGATTTCGTCTCGCGGTATCAAAATCTGGAAATCGCAGTCTCCTACATCCTACACCCACCCCGCTCCGGTTTCGCAGGTCATACTGTACCGCAATGCAGGCGTGGGGACACGTTGCCTACTCGCAAGGGGCCGTTAGGGGCCGTGGTGACAGACAGACGCGCGGTACCTGCGAACTGCGAAAATGTTTATACTTTATGACGGACTGCTTTACTGACGGGTCCCGCGGCTGGGCTCAGACAGACGCCGCCGCGAGTTTGCGCGACCCCCACATGACGACGACCCCGTCCTGGACGATATGCTGCCTGCTTCCGGCGACCTGCCAATACCACGTATACGACGGGCACGCCGCCGCCGGCCGGCCAAAGCCGCGCTGCCGAGCCGGTGATGTCACTGCGGATGACACGGCAGACGACAGATAGTGGGAGGGGGACGCCAGGACGACGGCGAGCAGCAGGACGATACGGCGAGAGATTGGCAGCCGCACCAGGAAGAAGGGACGGGCTGCAGCGAGCAGGGGGCCTTCCGCAACGACAAAAAATGAAATAATAAAAATAATGATGATTTAATGACAAAATTTTGCAGCGAATTTTCGTTTAGTTTCTCCGATATGGTTCTGTCTTATTGCACCATCCTCATCAGCATCCATCGACGGGGGTTGCGGAGAAGCAAGCAGAGGGCTTCTGCCCTGCCGCCCCCGCGGCGCGGTGGTGGTCCCCGCCCCGCCCACGCCCGCGCGGATTATTTTTAGCACCCGGAGGCGCTAAAGCTGGAGCAGATGAGGAGCAAGGCGGAGGTCAGCCCCCCCCCTTCTGCACCGCGAGAGACCAAAACCGACACTTTCCTTTTCGATTATAAATAAAATACGACGCAAGGCAGGCCCCGGCGGGCTCGAGCCGAGCCGAGGCGGCAGGGCACCACTCTCCTCCTCATTCGGTCGGTACACTTTGTGGCTTATCCGTTTTCCGGTGGAAGAAAGCTCGCGCGGGGCCAGGCCGGGGCCGAAAACGAACGACCGCGACGAGAGCGCGCGGGGCCGCCGTGTACGCGAGGAGGCCCGCCCCGCCGAGGGGCGAGGGGTACTTTCCTCCCG